ATTTCTGTGACGCCTTGTCTGACCAAAATCAGACTTCCTCAGACAAGCAGTTTACAACAAAGAACAGCATACGAAGTTGTATTCATTTTATAAGCTATCAAACGTATTTATTTTTAAGCAATGAAGTCACAAATTAACACCGTGGGCACAAAACACGAATAAATCAGGTATTTCTCACTTAAAAATTTAATGGAACAGGCAAAATAATTTAAATGAATACAGTATGTACATAACATAGTGACCATAAATATTATAATTAGTCTTTTTTAAGTTTAACCCAATGAAGTTCTCCAACTTCAGTTTGATGGGCAGTTTCAATTGCAGAAAAATGCCAAAGTATTTTATTATGAATAGCCCATCTAAGCTGTTTGCAACTGTTATGATGCTCATATACCTTTACGCTTCGAGACTTCTTGTTCGATCCATTTTATAGTGCTGATAGCAGCAGGGATTAGAGCCTGCGTTAGGTTGGATTGGTGGAACATTGCCGTTTTCTTCTGTAGTGCAGTATCTAAAATGAGGAAGAAAATCATATTTGGAACAGCATGAGTGTAAGAATACCACTAAATAGTAAATACTGACTAAAACTTCTCATACATAATGCATTAAATCTGATGTACCGTTATTACCGTACCCAATGAGCGTATATATATGCTCATTGGATGTACTACATTCCTGCAGTGTTTGCATACTGGACTATATCTACACTGAATTTCGATATATATATCACAGTCTGAAATGCCCTATAGCCTATATTTTAAAACATCAACTGTCGGTCTACAACTTGATTTCTCACCTCTCAATCGCTTCCAATGCTACTTTTTTCAACTCCGGCATTCTTGTCGACTTTATGAATACAGACCAAGACCAACTGACATCAATAAAATTGACCTAAGTAACATTTCGTATTTAACAACTTTTATGAGCTAGTGCTCAACTAAAATTGCTTTTTATAGTAAGAATATACATGTGTTTGATAGCTCACTTGTACTTCTTAACACCTTTTTAGAATAACTCAACTAATAATAACGGAAAAAAACTATGGAAAGGCTACTCAACACAAAAGCGAGCAGTAGTGCATCTGATATTCATCCGACCATGGCGATCCACCTACAGCTGACGTCATGCAGCAGTCTGCGTTTATTGGCTCGTGATACCGGAAAAGAAAATAATATAGGACAGATGGTAACACATATTCATTGTAGTAAAAGCGTCTTTTCCGTCAAACGTGCAACTTTTGGAAATTAGTAGGCATTATCCGTTACTAAATTTCTAAGGAACATTTTAAAATCATTTTCAGGTAGTTCCCTTATGTGCGCTACGAAACTGAAAGCAAAACAACGGCCTCGTCTCGCGCCTATGCAGTATTGGGAACGTTTAAACATGCACTAAACCTCGGAATTATACGAAAGTTGGCTTGTCCAATCCGCGCTGTCCCGGTTTTTGGCTTCAGACATATGGTAACCCTATCTATATATACTATTGCAAAATTATTGATACTATTTCGAAGGTGTTTTGGAGAGTTGGCGCTCATAAGCTGGTTTACATGTTTAAAACCATTATTTTTATTAAAATATTCAGCCACGTGCCGCTTACAATTACTGATAGCAACCTTTAGCCTAGTATATCGCAGCTTTTCCGAGACTAATTTTTGATTATTGCAACTAAACAAAGGCCGGGGAAACATCCATTGACATTCAACAATGGCGTTCTCATGATGCCATTGATGGGAAATACAATACAATTTTATTTCGATCTTTCGTCTAACTCTACAACATAGATCACAAATAAAAATAAATAAAGAACACAGACAATGACGACGTAAAGATCGGGAAAATGGGCAAAACCTAGAAAAAGGTTTATAGTAAACGCCGCGACCAGCGTTTATGCCCATTCACTCATACTCACACAAGTGGAAAAACACAGCACGCAAATCTTACTGAAATGAATAAATTCATAAACAGCATACAGGAACACAAGAAAATGAAATTCACGGGCGAAGCTTACTTGTATATAATTTTGGTGATAGAAAGCGGTGAAAATTACAAAAACAATTATAAGGTTATGTTACGATGCCTGTGCCGAAATGCGAATCCCAATAATAGAATCTAAATTGAGATCAGCGGCTGTTTTTCTTAGTAAACAACGAAGCTGACAAGTAAACAACAAGCATAAAAACTGGTTTTGGGCGTTGCTTCTTGTGTAACAAAATTGGATCTTCATGCGACGATTCCGGCCGACTCAACTTCGTATAAATGGCTGTTTTTTCGAGGTGATATTTTTCTATTGTCAAGTCAAAAACGCCCACTTGCTCAGTTCCAATCTGCACTAGAAGACCAAATGAAATTGTACGGTTGTTGTGGCGGCATTGCAAAGTGTCAAATTGGTATGTTACTATGAAGCCATGGGCAGCTCGACGTTCAAAAGCCATCCTTCGGCATCATTCTAGCGAAAATTCCCATATGGCTCTATTGTTACGCGCCGCGAAAACTGCCACAAAATGGTGACCATTAACGCGTTCAACATTAAGCAATTTGGTTGCCGCCCATTGGCCTGAACTAAGAGTTTAGTACTATACGCTGGTTTGAATCCCGTGGGGGACAATTATATCAGAAAATTTTGATCTGATAATAAGCGCTTGGAAATGATGTAGGCTAGTTCTATATGGTTTTTCTTGTTGTGACCGTATGTATGTAAAAAAAAATCAATTTTCTAATCGACTACTGGATCTATTGCTTTGATTTTCAGTGGTTAAAGACTGTATCTACATTTAGGACTATTACATTTATTTATTACAAAACTTTCTGTGGGCTCTATGTTGTTCGTTTTCACTTCGAAATTTGGTGTGGTGACCTCATCAAAATTAATAAAAATCATTTGTGGCGGTTCTGTGCCTACAAGTAATACAAGTTTTTAAATATACCAATTCTTCATACAATAAGTGTAGTAAAAACGTGACCAAGATACACTGGGAGAAAACGTGTTTTCTTACTCACAACAACCTTAAACCACAGTGTCTGGTGTGTTTTCAAGTAATATCTGTCACGAAAGAATTAGTGTCTAGTGTGTTTTCAAGTAATTTCTATATATAGCAGGCTATATATAGTTTTCTTGAAAAACTAATTAAAACGGTCTTCTCATTCTTAAATAAGTTTAAAAAGTGTAAACTCGCGATGTTTCGATCATATTTGGGTTTTCTCCGACTGCGGACTGCGGAGTTTTTGCGGCCCTCCAACCTCGCAACTTTGGACCATCCTGACTTCGTCTACTGTAGGCTACATTAATTGGCCGAACGTCAAATGTACCCAATTAAAATTTAACGCCGAGAGGCACATTCAAACTCATTTTTTTAAAGAGGGGTTTCGTTTTAAAACTTTAATAGACTTCAATAATATGAACAATTCGATTTTTGTCGTTTTATTTTAATAATGAGTAATGAGTTTTTAATAACGTAAGACTTCGTTTCACGAATTTCGCAATCTGAAACCAAATTTTATTTTCACTATTTTATTTAATTATTTATACCTATTTTATTAATTTATATTGGCTCTCGCAAGATTACGAATTGTTGTTTCCACGGCCGGAATCTTCAGTCAAAACCACATTTTTATTATTAGCGGTTTCGATTACTGTGTTCCGCTCAATAAGTATTTGCGCACAAGAGTTTACCTCAAAATGTTTGAAAAATAGCAAACTGTCAATCGACGAATGATTTTCAACCAAACAAAATTCAGTGATTTTTTCCAGTTGCTCTCTCCATTCTCTGAAACTCGCTCCATTCCTTCATGAAAGGCAAATGAGTTTTTAGCATAAAGTATCTAGACAATCATGAATTTCGTATTTTCCATTCTGTGATCTTGTATTACCACACAGAACAAATTTGGGCGAATCAGCTAACAATCGATCGTTCCAGCAAAGGCATTACTCCACGGCGTTACAAAAAAATAAGCTATGTGGACATCGCCTCATCTGGTTTTTATTTTTCGGTGTTAATATCTGCAATTGCTACACTTTAAAAAAATAATATTGATCACTTCAATGCAACACAAAAATACTGTAACCACAACTCGCGATTGAGTTCACTTTTACATTCGCCTATTAATTTTGTAAGCGCATTCTAGATCGTAATATAATTCAGATTGCTTATTATTTTATACAGGTTCCTTAAAAATTAATAATCAATATCATCTAAAAATGAAAAGATATTTGAAGAGAAGAATACTAGGAATATTGATTTTGTCATTACATTTTCAATATTCATTTAGTTCAAAGTTTCCCAACCAGGAAGGAATTCCTCCCCAGGAGAAATTTTAATGTTCTTTGGTGGAAATACAAATTTGTATTTAGCGTGGTTTCACAATTATTGTTCAGTTATTTAGCATTATGGTAATACGTTTTTATTGATAAATTATCAACTATTCGAACTGCACAAAAGCCATAGTGCATATTGTGTGTAGCACTAGTTACGGACCTTAAAGATTCAACAAATCGAAGAAATAGATGTTTTTATGCGCATTGGGGAATAGGGGGGAATAAAGAATTCCTAAATAGACAAAGGAAGTATTCATCGAAAAATATTAACTTATTTAATTGAATACAAAACGACAAATATAGTAAGATGTTTTTGGTTGCTTTTACTGGTAGGCAAACACAATAAATGATGACTCAATGATATATTTTTTTTGTTTAATTAAACAGGCAGGCAGCATTTGGTTTCGAGGGTTCCGTACATTTGGACCCACGACAGTTACAACTGCATACTATTGCACCTCTGTAGAATTTTTTGTTTTGCGGATATTTGTACCCATACTAACCCTAACCCATGGGTTTTAGCACCCGCATATAGATTGGACCCGCTGATATACACATGGGTTCAAATGTACGTGGGTTCAAACGTACGTTCACCGGTTTCGAAATATGGAGCGCTTCCTATATTCACGAAACTTCGGCTTGCAGGTTGTCGGAATCCAAAGATTGCGTATGGGTATTGCGAACCTGATATGGTTGATTACATACCAGAGAGTTTCATCCCATATGGAACAGTTGTAAAATGTCACTGTGAACCCGGTTATGATTGGACTGAAGAATCAAATTCATACGAGTGTATTCCTTACGGATGGGAACCACGCACATTTGGAAAATGCGTCAAAAGTGAGTGTATTTACACATTTTATATTTATTTGTCAAATTTCTACATCTGGTTTTCCGTTTGAAAACGATTTTATAATCATTTATTAATTATAATTTTCCCTTATCGTTTGCCATCTAGGTACAAATACAACGGGTAGATATAATATTATTTATATTAAAATTTTTTGGTCGCTGACCGTATTGTGTACAAGGCATACTGATTGTTTTATAATTGTTTCATATTTTGCTTAACAACAACCAAATGCTATACACCACCACAACATTCAAAGTGTTCCGTTTAAGCTGTTCAGAATTCCAATAGTTGAATATCTAAATTTCAACCTCAATACTAAAACACCTACTTACACAATTCATAATAACTATCTCCATCGCTTATTGCAAGTTTTTTAAAACTCGAACGAAACTGCTAACTAATTTTTTTTGCAGTAACATGACCTTACAGGGAACCACCAAAAAACGGTGACGTGACTCCATCCCAAAAACGATACTTCGTAAATCAAGTGATCGAATTCAGCTGCCGACCCGGGTATAGTCTCAGTGGTAACTCAAAAGACAAGTGCAATCAACTGGAAGATGGGCGGTCAACAAACCTGTATATTGCCTAAAACATTGCTAATTAGAAAAGTTGGCGCCATACGTCACCTGTGGTCCTGAAGCTGAATACCACGATCAAGGAACAGTAATACAATTCGAGTGTGAGAAAAAAACACTACCACCTTGTCGGAGAGGAAAAATCTAAATGTTCAAAAGGCGGAAGTTGGGATACAGAATTTCCAATTTGCGGTAAGAAATGCAAAATTTCGAAGTAACATAATATAGATGTAATAATACCTACTGGATTGATTTATGGGGTTCTTCCAAAGTATTAAAGGTCGTGGATAGATGTAATACACAAATTTTATTATTGTTTTTAATTACCATACCACATTTTAACCACAAACTTCTATTATATGTGAATTGTGTCTTTATTTGATCATATCTATCTATATATAGATATATATCCTAGTTCGGAAGTGCTATACACCTGAGATCGAAAATGGTGGAGTTGGAGATGAAAAAGATTTCTACCTAGCAAAAGAATATACTGAATATTTCTGCAATGATGGCTATGTTCTGGATGAAGAGGATGAAGGTCAATGCTTAGGCAATGGGGAATGGAGCCACGTCCCAACTTGCAAAGGTATATTCATTAAGTAAATATCAGCGGTTGGTTTGCTATTGCGTGCTCTCGAAATGGCCAATGATAAGACTCTCGTTGCACATCGTTTCAGGTTTCACGTTTCATCAAGGGTCGGCAACTTTTTCTCACTGTAATCCGGTTTAAAAACTACACAAAACTTCAGCAATACAATTCATTAATATTATGTAGTTATTCAGCCGCAGCAAAACGTTAAAAAATTGAAATTATGCAACTCAGTTACACCCACACTGTGTCCTTCACGTCCAGACTGTTCTGCGAAATTTAAATAGGCCTATTGCATAAGCGAGAAGCTTTTCTTTTTCGCGGTTGTTGGCCCTCAATCCCCAGCATCAGGTTCATAATGCTAAAATATCTACGAACAAATCCCGCAACCAAAAGTTTGTGCTTATAACATCATATTATTGTACTTTAGAAAAAATTCGTAACGATTCCTGCAAAAGATGTTGTAGAAAAAAAGACGACTACTTCGAATACACATGTCAATGACACTATAGGTATGAGAAAGAGTACAATTGTTGCTCTGACTATCGCAAACAATGTGTCGCTAACAAACGTAAGTTTTATCACTCAAATTGCTTAAATTACAAACTTCTCGTGGGAATGGTAACGATAATGGAGTTTTTCAATTTTTCAGATAATCTTTATTAACTGCAACAGAAGCCAATAAAGATGAGCACTCATCAGACGACACGCTGGAATCTTGGAACTAACGTTACGATAAATTGTCGAATATTAACTATATTATATGTAATATTAATAAAACTTCAGCAATATTCAGTTTTATATCAAAATTAAGATCAGATTACCGATATGTTTTGTGCAAAGGCCTATACCTTAAAAGGGCATTGGTTCTCAAAGTGGGGTCCGCTGTCGCCTAGAGGTACGCGAAGCGATTTTGGGAGGACCGCGAACTAACCAACACAGAAGCACTGCTGTGATGGCTTTCATAAGGAAGAGTGCTGAAAAAAGTTTTAGTATTTTTTGTAAAAAATAAACAGTTTTCTACAAGTAGTAAAACATGATTTACACAAAATACTTTTCCGAAACTTGTTTTTTGGCGATTGCCTCTGACACCCTACTCGATATTAAAAATAAATAAAATAAAATCCGAAATAGAATGGTAATAATACATGATACAAGAGTTGTAATGACGCTCAAAATACAACCTCAAAATAGATGAGCTGGTGGAAGCCAAGCAATTGTACTCATCCTATTAAACTTAAAAACTTAACAAACGACATGCATTAAATCAATGCTTGATATGCCGTGTTCATATTCTGAATGCTTCAGTGCAGTGGTTCCCAAACTATGAGTCGCGACCCCGGATGGGGTCGCGTGAAGATTATAGAATAGGCTACGTTGTTGACCCGCTGGTACGCGAATTGGATTTATTGCCAAGTCTGCGAGAAATTACGTTTTTTTTTATCAGTGTCGTCCAGCGTTTCTCGCACTGTGTGTCGCAAGAGCTTCTCAGGTGAGCCGCGGAGCTTTTCGAAATTTTAGAAAATAAGCTTTTCGTATTACACATAGGCATGCATGCAACGGGAAAGCTTGTGAGACTTGAGTATCTGGTATTAGACATGTAAAATAAATACATTTGCCTTATCTTTGTAGTAAGAGGGATTTTCTACCATGACTGAAATTGAAAGCAAAAAAGGGAGCGACGAAACCTCGTTTCAATTGCTTCTCAAAACAAACACACACACATCGCATTAACATTTGCAGAATATTTTGTTTAATATAACTTTATTTTGTTACAAGTGTGCCGCAAAATATTTTTTATTTGCTAATTGCGCCGTGAGCAAAAAAGTTCGAGAACTACCGGTGTAGCCGCTTGGTTGTGGAATATACAAAGCAAAGTTGCTTTATTTAGCGGAGTATTGGCACATAAGGTTTAGAAAGCACTTTGTTAATTTGCGCACGTGTCCAGCGTGTTTTGTCCACATCGACCCCACAAGAAAGTGAACATTTTCGCATTGCAATATTACGTATTTAGGTGTATCATAGATAATTTCAACGCGTTCCGAATATTCGAACACAAAATCACAACAAGTTCCAGCATAATAAAAGACAACTGAAAGATGTGATTCCGTACATGTTTTTTCTATTTTACTCTCATGCTCTGTTGTACTTTCAAATCAATAATAGAGCAATCTGTAATATGTTAACATTGTACTGAAAATAATAAAGATATACTGAATAAGATTTAAAATTTATGTATGGAGAAGCATCTTACTATTTCCGAAGTATATACATCATGAGCTTCCTTGCAATCTACCACGTTTTATCAAGGTCGTCTATGTTTTGTCAAAGAACCGTTATGATTCTGATTTAGGAGATTTTTACATTGTGGTTTTTTATACGATGTCATGTGTTATCAAATCTTCCGAAGTTCCTGCTTATTCCGGCGCATTGCCGGACTCGTTCGTATATGTTTGGGCCAATGTTCGCCGAAAACGTCCATTCCCATAGTTCCCATCAACGTTCCCATTGAGGTAATTAAAATGATGCACAGTACTGATTTCTGAAGTTGCTCAACGTTTCTAGTTGTGGAGTCGCGAGTATCTGTGGGCTTTGATTTTATGAAAATTGGGGTCGCGAAAAAAAAGTTTGGAAACCAGTGCTTTAGTGGACCGCGATTCCTCAGAAAAATCGCAGGGATCCGTTAAAAAAATTTTTCAAAAAGTTTGAGAACCACTGGTCTAGAGTATAATCGAAAACTCGATTGGCTGGTGAAGTATTAAATTATCCTAGATCAAATAAATTCCCTTTTTTTTTTTATCCTCGCATGGATGATGGCTCCTGTGATTGGCTCGCTCGCGTTACCAATTACATTTGCAACAATAAGATAAAAAATAGATATTTGAAAAGAACAACTACATTGAATGAGACAGATAGAAATGAAAAGAAATCAAAACCAAAACAAAATCATGAAAATTACATTTCTTCCGGATTCACGGCACGAGAGATTCTAAGTTAGAGCTCGAATCCGTTGTGCCTGGTATGTGAAAGAGTCGTGCTATATTGCCATGATGAGAGGTGTCCAAGATTAACTGGCGTGGCTGACATATGAACAAGCTGAACACGCGAATGCAAGGCTGAGATAAAAATCTTATTACAGGAACTGCGAATTGTATAAATTTTATTCAAATGTAGCCTACAGCTTTGGCAAAATGTATGAAAAATGGCAAGTTTGACAAGTATTCCTAGTGCTAAAATTGCAAACAAAAATGTCAATAGAGTTCATCATCGCTGTTTAATTAGGGTTCTAATTGTTGCAGCTGTGCCATTCATTACCTGATTCTCCACACCAATCTTAGTTAGTCTGGCCTCACCCTCCCCATGCTAGGCAAAATTCAGGAAACTATACAAAAAACATTGAATTCAACTTCCGAGATTCATTGCTCGCTGTATTTCTGAAAACTTCAACACCTCCAACATCATATCAGAATTTGTACCACTAAGCCCAGGTATTGCGTATTATTCAATCTTTAAAAGAACCTAAAGACAAACTAACAATGAATAAGGAGTCTCAAACTTTTCAATCTCTCTCACCCGAATTGCCAGAAAAGGGTAGATAATGAATTGCGATCCCAAAACAAAATATAATCATTGTCTGGAAGAACGGACTCTAAATCCTGAGAACAATCTTTGGTATATATGTCACTAAGCATGCGGAAAACCAGGATAGACGCTCCGGCATTGAAAACCTAGAATTACACGGGATGCAACCGCTAGCCAACGAGGACATCGACAAACTTGTACTCGAAATCTCTTATCTAACAAAAGTGAAAATTCAACCAAGTGACATTCCTTCTAGTCATTGTTTTACGACTAGCAAATATAAAAACAACCCGTTTGGGAATATGCATCAATAAGTATGAAAAAATTACAAATCTGATAAAGTTTCCAAATTGAATTATATGTTTTCTGACAAGAGGGCCTTTTTTTCCTCAGATAAAGATGCGACCGTGCGTTTTTACCTCCCTCGTTTACGAGTTCAACGCACGGGTCGTTCGTCTCTCCTCAGTATGGGTTCTCATCTTTCTCTCTTTTATCCCTATGTGCAACTGGTCTACCACGCCGCAAGTCTCTGCACCTTCAGTCGGATACACGCGATAAAAATATTATAAAAATGCATTTTTTTTTAATGTAGTTGTAAAATGGACGTGTTCAAATTTTAGCTGCTCCTTATGAGTTTTGGCGTTTCCTGCCTTGATATTATTAAGTTACTGAAAATTTAGCATATATAGGCTATCGGTAGATACTATGCCACAGTCAAATACGTATCTCTCCTCTCATGTTCAGTCTTCATCAGCAAATTTCGTGTGTTAATAATTTCCTAAAAAATCCGATTGGCATAAATTATTGTGCGTTCTGACTTCATGTTTTATATTATCAATAATTAGATTTCTCCCGTGATGCAACGACGGTAATATTGGTAATGACGGAATTGAAGAAGAAGATTGAATGTTCAACCATAAAGATTACAGTCATGTGCCAAATGCTGGCAAAATAATGGTGTATTACAAGGCCAGGTACAATCAGCCACTGATATCTAACGATATGTTAAAGAACCTCTCCATCGACTTAATTTGCGGTCGGGGTTATTCAAGATATACAAGCACACAATCTTATCCATTTTGGTTGCTTCGTTTGAGGAAAGGATTGAAGCACATATGATACACCGAATTAAAAGTTTATGGCTTTCAATAAAATTTTTCACTAAAAAAATCTCAAAATCAGTCTCAAATCAGTCTCAGTTCGAACTGAGCAGTCGGGCATTATGAAGCTTGACAGACCAAAAATGTTAAACTGAAAAAAAAACGGCCATTGAAGGGAACTTGAGTCGGCCGGTAACTTCGTCGAATAAATACAACTTTCCATCTGTAACATCATAGGGAAGGCCATTGTCAAATAGTCAATTATGACGAATAGAATGGCCAACTTACTTTATGGCTTTCAATAAAATTTTTCAC